TAATTGAGACCAACTTTGGTCGCTAATTATACATGAAATTAATTTAGTGACCAAAGTTGGTCGCAAAATTTAAATCAGATTTATTTATATTTTATGTAATATTTAAATTAAAAATATAATTATTAAGATTTATAACTGAGTCCCACTTTAGCGACCAAACTTGGTCACTATCTGCCTACCCTTTATTTAGCGACCAACGTTGGTCGCCAAGTTTAAATTATATGTATTTAAATTTTATATTTTTTTAAAATAATAATATAATTATTAAAATTTTGAAGGTGGGTCCCACTTTAACGACCAACATTGGTCGCTAATCTCAGTAAACCTTTGACCAAGCAAGTCTGACCAGTCCAGTCAACATTTTGACTAATTTAGCGACCAAATTGCGACCAACCTTGGTCGCTAATTTGTTTCATTTATTTATTTTATTATTTTCGCTAGTTTGCGACCAACGTTGGTCGCTTTTCTCTTCAGACCAACTTTGGTCGCTATTTTTTGGTCGCTTTTTTGCGGAATTCTAGTAGTGGGACCTCCAAATCCACATGCGGACATATCCCTAAGTCCAAAATCACTATACAAAGCTATTGGAACTATCAAAACTCCGTTATGGAGTCGTCTATACAAAAGTCAATCTCCGGAAAACCCTTACAAAACATTGGGACTACGTATCCCAATTCACTCCAAAACCTCCCCGAAATCAAACCAATCACCCTGGCAAGTCACGAAACCACAAATACACATAAGTAAAACATCAAATAGGAGAAACGAGGCTAAAATACTCAAAACACCCGATTGGTTCGTTAAAAATCTGACTGTATTGAGAAGGCATTCGTGCAGGGGGTTCATATTGCAATAGTTGACAATGAAAAAAGTACTTTGGTTTTCTGTTGAACTTGAGGAGAGAACGTAAAAACATAAACCATAAAAGGAAAAGGAGGGTCTGCGGCTTCCAGAGAGAGAAGTGGGGAGAAAGAATTGTACTCCTTTAATTTTGAAAAGACATAATCGACCTTCTCCTTACAATATTGTTAGTGTGTCGTTGATGATATTGAATCAAAGCAAAAATGAAAAAAAAATTAAAATAAATAAATAAATATATATATATATATATATATAGAGAGAGAGAGAGAGAGTCCAGACAAGAAGCTAGAGGATCAGTTAAGGCTGCTAATGATTGTTAAATCCACTTGCAACTCCAACTTGCAATCTTCTTAAATTAAAAATTATATTTAAAGCCATAACACAACAAAGATATAAATGAGGTGAGGTGATACCGGCAAATATTGCTGTAACTTGCATATCTATTCTTTTATAAATACATTTAAAAAAAAAAAAAAGGAGCAAACAAATATTGAAAGTATGCAACTTGCTATTTCTTTATTGATGATGATAGACTGATAATTATATATCAGCTATTTGGTCTCTCTTTTAATAAAAAGAAAAAGAAAAGGTCCGTTCCAACTTGCAAACAACAACCCCAAGTCTTTGGTTCTCGTCACACGTTATCTTCTTCTTTAGTTATATACTACTTTTTCAGTTTCAAACTATGAGATGATGTTTGATCGATCATACAACTTAAGAATAAGAGGAAGGATTTTAGAATTTATGGTATTAAATATGTCATAAAATTTTGCAATTATAAAAAAATTGATATTAAGGATAAAATTAGAAATTTAAAATTAAATTATTTTTTAATATAAAATATATCATTAAAAAGAAAAATAAACAAAAAAAGAGTATCACTTAAAATGAAACAATTTTTTTTTAAAATCCGTTCAAACTTGCAACAATCCAAGTATTTGATTCTCATCACGTTAACTACTACTTCTTCTTCAATTTACTAGTATATAAATTCTTTTTCTTTAAAAATAAAAAAAAATTCTCACCCACTACCATCACCGTCTCTNNAAACCAATATGCCTCAAATTGAAATTTTAGGTTTCAGATTTACCTCCCATCTTTCTATCACACTTTTAAGTACATCACCTCTTGCATTATATTACTATTTCTCCATCTAATTACTATCTTTCATAATGGGAGCTATTAGCAGTATAAAGACTTTTTATACTATCACTCAATTTTGGTAGGATATAAATAAATAATTAATTCACCTTCCAATTTACATAAAGTTTGCTATGAGAGTTATTTATTATTATAGGTTAACTTAACCTGATAGTGTAAAATACCTTAAAAACTAACAGCACATTGAATTTGCACTCTTATTTTTTTTTAATTTACAAATTGTAGGCTTAAGTCATATCTAGAGTTATTAAATAATCAATGTTGATTCCTTGAAGAAAATAAATTTTTCTTTTTTTATTTGGATTTCCCATTCGTTATCTGGTACTTTAATTTTACCAACTATAAAAAATGAACAATTTTGAAAAAATTAACACAAAGTTAGCAGCAGCCTGTAGGAAGGTAGGTCGTAGGAAGATTCGTAGAAACAGTTCATTAGTTTGTCCAAAGATTCTACTCCCTCCATTTCATTTTAGATGAGCTACTTTTTTTTATTAGTCTGTTCAAAAATAAATGACACATTTCTAAATTTGGAAATAATTTAACTTTAAACTCTTTATTTTACCCATTTACCTTTAATGAGAAGCTTTTATAGCCACACAAATGTCATGGCCCCACAAACCTTTTACCCCTAAAGCTTTTAAGACTACAAGTTTCAAAAGTCTTCTTCTTTTTTCTTACACTCCGTGTCGAGTCAAACTACCTCATCTAATATGAAACGGATGGAGTATGAGGTTATTAACTATTATGCGGCCAGATAAGTATTCTGCTACACTTGATTGGTTACTTAGCTATTAAACTAATCTATCATAAATTAAAAAAACCTATTTAAATCAGCATCCAAAATGGGTACATCGTACTTAATTTCGTCTGAGCATATAGAAACATGCGATTACTTTAATATTATTTTCCCTTTGTTGCAGCATAACCAAGCTATTAGCTAGCTAATCGCTAGCTAGCATTACTAATCAGAACCGCCTTAATATTTGCTTTATTTAGATCAGCCATTCACGTGGATTCTACATCTGAATATAGCGGTTGTGTTCGCATAAGTTTGTATATATGAATCTCAATTTTATTTTATAGAATATCTATTATCTTCATTAATGTTGGTACCGGATAAAATGTCAAGCCTATTATATCCTTTAATTTACTCATTCATTTCTTTAATGTGGTATGCAAAACAACTTACTTCACTTTAACTATACGTTACTTTTATCCGGGGCTTCAAAAAAAATAGGAAACCTCTTATAGCAAAGATATACACCTTATTTATTATAAACACAAATTATTTTAAAATATTATTTTCTATAGCTAGCTTTTATATTTTATAGCAAAATAAGTATTTATGGTATATACTACTATTGAGGCATGAAATAAGGCATGAAATACGCTATTTATGTTTTTCCTCTCTCTTAAACAGCTGGACATACCTATTTTTAAGGTGATTGTCGTTATTGTATTCATGAATACATGGCGCGAATACATGTGAATATATGCGCGTACAGCTGGACTGCCACGATTTTAGGCGCTTTTTACTGTTGTATTCATGAATACATGTGAATACATACGCGTATAGCTGGACTGCCGTAATTTTAGGCGCTTTTTGTTGTTGTATTCATGAATACATGGCGAATACATGTGAATACATGCGCGTACTGCTGGACTGAGCGCTTTTTACTACTGTATTCTTGAATACAGCGGCGAGAATACATGTGAATACATGCGCGTACAGCTGGACTGCCCTGATTTTAGGCACTTTTTGCTGCTGTATTCATGAATACATGGCGCGAATACATGTGCATACAGCTGGACTACCCTAATTTTTAGGTGCTTTTTGCTGCTATATTCATAAATACAGCAGCGCGAATACAGCGAATACACTACCGTAACAACTGAATAGTAGCTATAGAAAGTATTTATGTATATGGTAAATATAGCAAGTTAATAGCCACTAAACAATAGTAGTTACTGAAAAATTCTCTTAAAAATATATTACAAAGTAAGGCAAAAGTTAATTTTTTAATTATATATAAAGTGTTGATTCCCCTTGGCCTAAGAGAAACTTATAGTAAAGTGGCAAAGGGGTTTAAAAATTATTTTAAATTGTAAGTTCAATTCCAAAAATTTATATATTTTTAATCTCTTTATATAAATTACCGGTTCGCCACTATTTCCAAGATAAATTGGTTTCTTTTAGCAAATCCTCCAACGATTTGATTCCTACATTCTTTACATTAAGTTCATTCTTACTAGTGATCTTCCAAATTCGAAATCACCTAATAATCTCGTTTGTATTGCCCTAATCACTGTTATAACTTATAACCATCCTTGTACTGTTATTATTCTAAGAATGCACTTTAAAGATATATGTCTGCTGCACTACTATAATCACTCAATTTCAAGTTACTACTAGTTGAATTAGTAAAATACAGCTAATTACTCTTTTTGTTACGGTTTATGTGAATCTATTTACTTTTTGGTCCATTCTAAAAAGAATGACTCATTTTTAAATTTGGAAACAATTTAACTTAAACATTCAATTCTACCCTTAATGTATAACTACACAAATACTCTGGCCCCATTTTGACTTGTTTAGGACCATAAATTTAAGAAGTTTTCATTTTTTTTTTAAACTCTGCACTCAGTCAAACAGGTTCACGTAAATTGAAACGAATAGAGTAATTAGTCAAATCTGTTTTGATCGAGCCTCTCTTTTCAAATAAATAAATTTGAACCTAACGAGGGCAATTGACAATTAATATATTGATGATATCTTCATATTTCTTCATCCGATAGATTTCTTGAAACTCTAATTCAACAACTAGAATTTCAACTCAAATGAGAACTTATATGCTTCGTACAAGTAACAAACTATATACCATGAAACACTAGCATTTGAGAATTTTCTTTTCTCTATTTTTGATGTATATTCCATTACTTATTTCCTAGCATTTACTTCACGAAAAATATAAACAAGATTTAAAAATAGATAAAGTAAGAAAAAGAGACCATAGGAGAAACAACTTAAATTCCTAGCGTAACAAGTAAACCATGAACTTATCTTCAACAAGTGATGACGACAACCTGGACCAGAGATGAAAAATATGTAAAAAGAAATCGAATGATTCAAAGATCTTAATTCGTACCAAAATACATCATCTGATCAAGATATCATCGTCACAGGCATCATCGATCAGTTGTTTTAATCTGTTTTGAACTCCGATCCACGGAGAAACTAACCACCTTGTATTTGTATTTTTTTGCTTGTCATATAGATCAATCCATTTTGAACTAATGTTGAACCGGTTTATTGATTTGACATGTCCAAGTTTGATCCAAGTCGTCCATTTGCCACCTCGAGCTACGTTTCAAGACATGTTTCGTCTGCTCAAATTCTCAGCGATTTGGGCAAGGGATTGGAGGTTACATTTGACAATAGTGTCCACGAAAACACATGTTTCTTCTTTAGTATTCCCATGTGGTATATCAACAACGTATGATTCCACGACGATAGTACTTCCATTGCAAGAGGGATCGGAGTGGAGGGTGGTGACAGATCGGTAATTTGCCAGGCGGTGGTCCCCACCAACAACGCTGAAGCTGATGACGTGGCGCTCTTCGTCAAGGATCTCGAGCCTCTCCGTGCTGCTAGCAGCGGGAAGGCCCGAGATGACGCGCACTTCGCGGAGGGTGCCAACGTCGCCGTCCCCAACGATGACGTGGCAGCTCTTGACGAAGTGTTTATAGGCTTGAGGGTTATCGAAACGGCGGACGACGGACCATACAGCAGAGACGGGGGCGGAGACGCGCTGGATCACGGCGGAGCAACACTGGTTTGGGCTAACGGAGTGAGTGTGGTATTTACCGACGGAATCCGGTACTTGTGCGGTACATGGTATTGGCGTATGTCTTTGTAGTTTTTTACAAGTGGTGGCGCCGGCGGAAGTTGTAGGGATCGTGGTAGGGTTGATTCTATGAAATAAAAGTGATGATTTTGGAGGATTTGGAGGCATTTCTTTTTGCTGATTTCGTAGAAATGGTTGATCTGAAACAGAGAGAGTTTGATTTAAATTTATATAGGAGTATTTAATGGGTACGAAAGTAAAAAAAGACAACTACTTTGAAATTTATGATCTTAAGGTGCAAAGATATTTCTCTGTAAGAGCATGTTGTTAGAATAGAGTTAAAAAGAGTTTTTAAATATAATACTCCCCCAATTCAATTTAGACGAGGTATATAGTTTGACTCAACACGAAATTTAAGAGAAAAGAGGAGACTTTTGAAAGTAGTGGTCTTAAAAGCTTAATGGGTAAAAATTTTATGGGATCATGATATTTGTTTGGTTATAAAAATTTCTTATTAAGGCTAAAATGAAAAGTTTAAAGTTGAACTATTTTCAATTATAGAAATGTATCTTTTTTTTTTTTAAACGAACTAATAAGAAATTAAAGGGTGTCATCTAAATTGAATTTACAACAAAACGTCATAATAAAATAAACTGGAAAGGATAATTATATATTATATTGATATGTATTATATTAAGACTTAAGGATAAGTCTCATGTAAGAAAGGGAATAATAGAGCTAAGAAAAAGAAGGAAGAGGTGGTTGGACTTTGAGAGGAATAAGAGAAGAGATCGTTCATGGGAGGGGGGTAAAATAGGAACAAGATGCTGCTTGTGAGCTTAATATACGGTAGTGTTTACCCTAAAAATTGGATAACAATTAAACTTATAATGTGATTTTAACGATACGTGATTTCACCTAATACCATTGATGAATATGAAGATCAATAATGAAAATTGACAATAAGATAAAGCAAACCAATGTTTGAATGGAATTCATCCCTTGAGCTTGAGTACCCTCGAACTGATTGGTACAAGAACAGTTTAAAAGTATAACAACCTGATGAACAAGAGTATGAGCTAGAGAAAGCGTTAAATTGCTTTGATTCGTCAGAACAATCTCTCTTACAAATGATTAGAACCCCCTTTATATAGTAGAGGAATCCTATATATGGTAAAATTTCAATTATGGAAGTAAATCCCATGATTAACTAAACAACCGCCCTTTATGTTAAGAAATTTCGCCACGACCTTCGACCAGTTAGGGATATCTCGCCTTTCCATTCGGTCTTGCTCAATGCTTGTCCTGCTCAACCTCGATCATTATCGGTTTTGATCTTGCTAGGTACCTCGAATCCGAACCCGATGTCTTATCCTCGTGCCTCGTCTGATCTATTACATGATCGATCTTCGATCCTACACATCAGTCTCGATAAATCAGTAAAATCGAGTGAGACCGATTTTAACCGTATAAAGATAATCCCCTCGTTTTTTGAGTGAAATGACAAGAAACGAATTGAGCCCGAGTTCCTTTGCTTGTTGTTCTCAAAGCACCAAATATTCCCATCTCTATTCTTCCTTGCTCACAAAAACAAAATGGCAAAAACATCTAAAACTGTTCTGCAAAAGGAAACTGCTCAGGTTCGGGCAGAGGAGGTTGCCGAGCGCGCCAAGTGTCAGTCTCGGAGAGAGACCCTTGGAAAAAACCCATGCTCGGGGCTTTGATCTTTCGACTGAGATCGATGGACCCGAGTGACCATTTGAACTAGAGTTTGAGTAGCTCTTAGTCTTACCAGTCGAGTGAAGATTTGCTTGAACTCGAAGTAAAGTTAACCCTTAGGCTTTATAGATAGTCCCTGAGTGAGAGCTTGCTCGAACTCGCATTAAGATAGCCCTTGGGCTTTTATGACCGAGTAACGATTTGCTCGAACTCGAAGTGAAGTTAGCCTCTAGGCTTTATAGTCGAGTTAGGATTTGCTCGAACTCGAAGTAAAGTTAGTCCTTAGGCTTTATACATAGTCCTCGAGTGAGAGTTTGCTCGAACTCAGATTAAGATAGCCCTTGGGCTTTTATGATCGAGTGAGTACTTGCTCGAACTCGAAGTGAAGTTAGCCCTTAGGCTTTATAGTCGAGTGAGTTTGCTTGAACTCGAAGTAAAGTTAGCCCTTAGGCTTTATAGATAGTCCCTGAGTGAGAGTTTGCTCGAACTCGGGTTATGATAGCCCTTGGGCTTTTATGACTGAGTGAGGACTTGCTTGAACTCAAAGTGAAGTTATCCCTTAGGCTTTATAGCCGAGTGAGGATTTTCTCGAACTCGAAGTAAAGTTATCCCTTAGGCTTTATAGATAGCCCCCGAGTGAGAGTTTCCTCGAACTCGCGTTAAGATAGCCCTTGGGATTTTATGATCGAGTGAGGACTTGATCGAACTCGAAGTGAAGTTAGCCCTTAGGATTTATAGCCGAGTGAGGATTTTCTCGAACTCGAAGTAAAGTTAGCCCTTAGGCTTTATAGATAGTCCCCGAGTGAGTGTTTGCTCGAACTCGGGTTAAGATAGTCCTTGGGCTTTTATGATCGAGTGAGGACTTGCTCGAACTCGAAGTAGAAGTAGCCCTTAGGCCCTTGTATTTGTTCCGAATTTCGGATGTCTCCGACCCGCGTTAGTTTGGCCGTAGCCTTTAGTTTGGAACTTTCCATTTGGGCTTATTTTTCGTTTAACCTCGAGCTTGCCCGAAGTGTCAGTCTCCGAGTGGGGTGGCCATGGCCTGTAAAATCGAGTGTCGCCTTTAAGGTCTTATGATCTCGAAATTTTAGTAGCTCGATTTCGTTTGTTTTTCGGACGGCAGTCCTCAAGCGTGGGGTTAGTTGTTCGAACATCCGTCATGATTGGCCCTTAAGCATGTTTACACAATAGATTAAGAGTATGAAGTAGGAAATTTTTCTAACGGCATGAGATATCGGCAAGGAAAAGTACTCCTCTCAATAGATGATCATACAAGCATGCATATTTGATGTTAGGGCTCGAGTAATCTATATGGGCACGGTTAATTTGACCGTTTGACCCTTACAGCATTTTCCTATCGAGACCTCTCTGTCACGAAGTAATTTCCTTGCAACAAAGTAGACATTCGAAGGTAATGCCCCCAGTACTCGAGGCTTATTGTAGGGAACCTCGGATACTGTTGAATTGCTCTAAGTTAGCACAAACAATGGTTGCCTCGTTAAAAGCCTCACCGAAAAAAACCATTTGGGACCAAAATCGGTCAAAGGAAAAAAGAGTGCAACGCGTGCTTTAAGATCCAAAGCTTCGTGTCGATCCTTGTCGATAGCCTGCAAGTGTTAGTCGAAAAAATAGAAAGAATTGGAATGGGGTCGTACCTTTCATTCAAATTTTGGATATTTAACGTGATCTCCTAAGCATCAAGTCCCCGTGAATTTGACCTCGATCATTTTGTGCGAAGCTTCGCATAGACTCGCTGCCTCTACGGTCCCCGTTGTACGGTTGATATCGATCTCTTTTCGACCTCGGCTCTCGATCGATGTCCCTTTTGATCCAATCCATGGGCCTGCTGGGATAAACAAACCCTGAAGGAGTCCCTAGTTGATCATCCTCGACCCTGATCTTCGACTGAAATCGATTATGTACGTCGGCCCAAGTGATAGCCGGGTACTCGATTAAACTTTGCTTCAATTGACGTGAAGCTATGGAACTCCGAGTGTTGAGACCTTGAGTGAAAGCTTGAACAGTCCTATCATCGGTGACCGGAGGTAAATTCATTCTCTCCGCTTGGAACCGAGACACGAATTCCTTGAGCATCTCGTTATCTTTCTGCCTTACCTTGAAAAGGTCCGACTTCCTCGTTGCAACTTTAATGGCTCCGGTGTGTGATGTTACAAAAGAATCTGCGAGCATAGCAAACGAATCAATAGAATTAGGGGGTAAGTTATGATACCATATTAAGGCACCCTTCGATAGAGTCTCCCCGAACTTCTTCAGCAGTACGGATTCAATTTCGTCATCTTCCAACTCATTTCCTTTGATGGCGCACATATACGTGGTGATGTGTTCATTTGGATCGGTCGTCCTGTTATACATGGGAATCTCGGGCATACGGAACTTCTTGGGGATTGGCTTCGGAGCCGCACTAGGGGGAAGGGTCTTTGCACGAACTTTTTAGAATCTAGTCCTTCCAATATCAGTGGTGCCCCCAGAATTTGATCAACTCGGGAGTTGTACGCTTCTACCCTTTTGTCATTTTCCTCAATATTCTTCTCCTTCGATTCGATCTGTTTTATGAGTTCTTCGAGCATCTTCATAATGGCAGGGTCAGCCCCCGAATCATTGGCGTTCGATATCTACGGTATAGGTTAGGCCCTGCGAATAGTTTCTGGTTCAGGCTCTAGTTCGATCCAACTTGGTGCTCGATGCTGATTCTGTAGTTGCGCTATACCGGCTTGCTCGGCTTGTACGCTTCTACCCTTTTGTCATTTTCCTCAATATTCTTCTCCTTCGATTCGATCCGTTTTATGAGTTCTTCGAGCATCTTCATAATGGCAGGGTCAGCCCCCGAATCATTAGCGTTCGATCTCTCCGGTATAAGTTCGTCCCTGCGAACAGTTTCTGGTTCAGGCTCTGGTTCGATCCCACTTGGTGCTCGATGATGATTCTGTAGTTGCGCTATAGCGGCTTGCTGAGCCTGTAGCATTTCAAATATCAATTGGAGGCTAACTCCACCATCTTCTTCGCCCTGCGTACCTCGACCACCTGATCGAACTTCCGTGCGTACGCTACCTTCAGGATCAACGCCCAGATTTGCATTTAAGGCGACATGCGAACTGACATCGACGGGGTCTGCAATTGGTACTTTCTCGTGGCCAGCCTGAGGCACTTCGATCCCTGAGGCGGCTACATTATCGTTTTCTCCATGGAAATCGAGGCCATTATCGGCGTGAATGGGTACTGCTTGCGAGTTAGACATGTTAATCCTGAAATCAAAAACACTCACAAGAACAAGCGTAAAGTAGTATGTGTTACGAGAATTAATATCAGGCAATCACTATTATCCTTCCCCACGGTGGGCGCCAAACTGTTTACCCTAAAAATTGGATACCAATTAAACTTATAATGTAGTTTTTAGGATACGTGATTTTACCTAATACCAATTGATGAATATGAAGATCAATAATGGAAATTGACAATAAGATAAAGCAAACCAGTGTTTGAATGGAATTCAGCCATTGAGCTTGAGTTCCCTCGAACTGATTGGTGCAAGAACAATTTAAAAGTATAACAAGCTGATGAACAAGAATATGAGCT